GAGACTTCAGGCCTGCAAGGAAGGATATCCAGGTTCAGGCTTAGGCAGCTCAGAAGGTGGGGACAGTTTAGGAGAAACAAGACTATCTGGACAGTGCCTGGTTATCAGTTTTAACGTATTTTGGGGGACTGTTACTAGAGGACCACCAGCCTTATTATTTTGGTGCAATGAAAGTAAATAGCCTGCAGAAGCGACACATAAAACAGGCAATGTCTGCAGAATGTGAACCAGTGGTTACAGGCTAGCCACCAATGGACAAAATCGTTATTTGGCTTACCTAGAATTTAAAAAGTAAAGTAAGTGAACATTTTAAATTTGGGAGAGAAAACTGTCTTTCCAGCTTCTCTTAAAGAAGCAACACCAGGCCAGCATCCCTTCATGGCAGTAGTCTACTAACTGAAGGCATTATCTTTAGAGTGCTGTCTGTATACCTGTAGTACGTTCTGAATTCGTATCCGTATAAATTACTGGACCCTGCACTAGACTGACTCAGAATTTCTCAAGGCAAGCCTTGGCAATCAGTATTTTTTAACCGGCTCTCTGAATGGTTCTCATATACACAGTGCATATAGATGAGAACCGCTGTTGTGAGGTTTCTGTTCCCTCTCATCGTACCTAAGGAAATGGTTGAGTTGGCATGCATGTGGGGCACAGGTGCAGGGCAGGCTTCAGTGCTTCCCTGCAGATAGGCTCATTGCTTCTTTTAGCCTGAATGGGTATCCTTAGCCACATTCAGGAAGCACATGGTCGTATCCAATCTGAAGATGTAAAAGCCTTGTACGTCGCATGGTCTGCCTCTGACATCAAAGACTGCAATCCCCATAGTAATTATGGATCTTGCATATAATTCAGGGTCACATTGTTCTGTGCACGCTGGGCTAGGAATCTCTGTAGTGTGTGATCCCAGGTACCGTACCTTCCTTAAACCTGTCGGGAAAAAACAACAAAAACCAAAGCCCAGATCATTACTGAACCAAAAGCAAACCCTCTTCATTTAGTTAAAACATGAAAGTAAGTTCCAGTTAGGTACAAAGCCAATGTGTTGGCGGAGGCTGAGTGTTGGTATTGGACTAAAACTGTCTTATAGCTGTCTGTGTGGATGTTTTATACAGAAAGTATCTCTCTGTTCCTCTCAGCATCCCTGTGTAGATGCCACTCATGTGGACTATCTGTAAACTATGATTTCAGACTCTTCATTAAGGGTTTTATTGTCTCACCCATCTGATCAACTCGGATGGTATTTTTATTATATTTCTCACACAAAAAAATAATGACCAACTTTAAGTTGGCAGTGAACCTAAATATAAGTTGATTAGGATGTGTAGCGATGAGTCACTATTGCTAATGAATATTTCAAATTTCCTTTAGCTTTCTTGGCAGAAGAGCTCACCAAGAACTTTAAAAGTCCAAATTGGAATTATTGGCTCATTATAGACTGGCCTGAGAGACAGAACTGAGCAGTTGCAGTGGTTTCATCTCTCAAAGCCAGAATTTCACCTTCAGACTGCCAATTGTTGTTCCCCAAGGGGGCTTGACGGTCTTCCAGTCTTTGGAAATCATCATCAATCATGAAAACCATCGCAGCCTGTTTTCCAACTTCAGACATTAAAGTGGTTTTGCTAGTCTTAGACAAGTCAGCCAGCTTTCTCTAGAGTATTGGAAGAGAAAGAGCAGAGGAAAAGAGGGTGAAACCAAAGGTCTGCCTAGCTCCCCAGATTTGGAAACAAAGGCAGAAGTGACTTCCAGAACTTATCTTTTGCTGTGAAAAACACCAATGTCACCAGAATTTAACATTGAGGATATTGGGTCAACTCCCTTTGTCGGGAAAACAGACTTTCAGTTAATTGCAAATAGTAGATCAGTTTTTATCAATGGTTTGGACTTCATGATCCTAATAATTATGGACTTAAAACTCTCTATGCTGCATGAAAATAATAGAAGAATACTTCTGGTTAGATTTGTAAAATAATTTGTCAGTCAAACCTTCTATAATCCTCCCATAAAAGCTATAAAGTATGCCAGAAACAAAAAAGCACAGGTGGAAAAATGGCAGTGAGATTCAGGAATGCCCACTTTCCTATCTCTTTTGTGTTATGAAGGTAACCATCCTCATTCAAGCCTACACTATTATGGTTTCACATAGAGAGCAGAGTGTTTTTTAGATTCGACAGTTCAACAATATAGGATATATATATATATTTTAAAGCCAATAGGAATAACAACCTGCCTGTCTCAAAAGTGCGGAGGGACATTTTGAAGTGACGTGGACTGAAGCCTCATATCATCAGACAGCCCAGTTTACAGACCTGTTCACCTTTAATGTTCCAGGCCAATCAGTTCAGATTTGTTAGAAGAAAAGCAAAGAAAGACAAGCTTTTATTGACTGAGAAAATAATCACGTTGAATGTATTGACAGTATATTCTAGACACGCTAGTGAAATTGATACATGAAGGTACAAGGACCCCTCCCGATATGTTAAATGATGCAAGGCTATTCCCTATTTTTAGAAGATGTTAACATGATGAGCCTGTACATGAACATGTTCAATCTGAAATTCTTGAACCTCTGAGATTCTTCAAAATATGTGGAATTACATGTAGACTTATGTCCGTTTGAGAATTTTATGTAGTCTACTGTGACAGAATTTCTCTTTCCAAGCTACCTCTCGCAAATCACATCATCCAGGAGGGGTGCAGCCAACAGAACCCTGGCACACACTGAGTAACCAGGGCAACATGCTTTTGTGAAGAGACCTGGTCTTCCTAATAGCTTTGCAGCTTTCCATTCTGCTAGCAGCTTGGAGGGTATATATGATAAGGAGAAGATGTGGTTCTTGTCCTCAAGAAGTCGACGTTCTGTTGTGGAGACATAGATGCCTGATGGGCTTGAATAGTTTTCCTGATGAAACAAGAGAGTTCCCTGACTCCCCTCACAGGACATGCAACAGAGGCTCGTCTATTCGACTGCTGTGCGTGCCCAGACCCCTTGGGGAGGGGGAGCGTGCAGATGCGCAGGTACCAGAGCTGGAGCTCCATCCCCACGGTAATGTCTAGGTGTGGGTGCCTGCAACTCCTGAAGCTCCAGTGGGCGTGTTACAGTGCTCATTTAGCTCCCCCATCTGCAGATGGCTTAAGTGTTAACCAGCTCAGTGCTCCCCTTGGTACCCAGGCCCTTGTCCGGTATCTAGGAAGAATCAGGTCACACACGGTCTTGAAAGATGGCAAATGTGGGGATTTTATTGGGTGATGGAGGTGGCTGTCAGTGGGATGGATGGGAAGCTGGAAAGGGGATGGGGTGGGAAGATGATCTTCAACTGGAGTTTGGCCATCCAGTGGCCCAATCTCCTTTCCAGCCATCCCCAGCCAAACTCCTCTTGACGTTTAGATGCTCCTTCTCATCTCTCCTTCTCTGTTGCACCATTCTGCCACTCTTCTACCCTTCTGTTTGTCTGTTCATGGAGCCTGGGCTTTGCAGGTACAGGATATGGGTACAGGATAGGGGGGCATGGTGGGCCAAAAAGGCAACTTTTGGGTGCAAAAACAGGAATACCTGTTCACATTTAGGATTATGGGTTTCCAGACTTTTGAGGGTGGGACCTTTGCCAAGGAACCACGCTCTCCCACCCAGTACTTCCCTGTCTCCCGTTCATATCACTGATAGGATGAAACTTCCTGCTTTAGTGAATGACATAGACCAAAAGTGCTGTGAGATTTATGATGGATTTAATTTTGGTCATCAATCTCTGTTACTCTTGCGGAAACACTCTTTTTAAAATTTGTATTTTACACATGAAGAGCTTTGGAGCCTGATACATGTTTTAAAAAGTGATATGCATGGCATAGTGAAATGAGTGTTGGACTGAGAGCCAGAAAATCTGGAATTTGGTCTCACTTTCCCCACTGGCCAGCTGGGAGATCCCCAAACAAACCACTTATCTTCTTTAAATGTCAGTTACTACATTTGTAAATGTGTGTGTAGGTGGGTGGGTGGGTAGGTGTATGAAATACTACCTTCTGCACTGATCTTTTAAGGTCTTTCTGAGAATAAAACAAAATTCAATACTATACAAAAAGAAGGCCATATTGTTATTAACTAACTGGTTAAATCAAACTACCACTTGAACTTATTTTTAAAATGCTGTTCATCAATGAGATCACTTGGATTCGTGAAGGGGAACATCATACACCGGGGCCTATCATGGGGAGGGGGGAGGAGAGAGGGATTGCACTGGGAGTTATACCTGATGTAAATGACGAGTTGATGGGTGCTGACGAGTTCATGGGTGCAGCACACCAACATGGCACAAGTATACATATGTAACAAACCTGAACGTTATCCACATGTACCCTAGAACTTAAAGTATAAAAAAAAAAAAAAAGAATAGAAAGCTATCCAAAAAATAAAAAAATAAAATGCTGTTCATTTTTGCTGTGAGAATTGCATTTATTTATAGACCTCTGATAACTTGTAAATAGGAACCTCGTATTATGAAAATATTACTGTACATTTCTGCAGCTGTATTTCATGGTGTCCTATCACTTGATTATTACAACTCAGATATTTAGAGTAAAATTATTATCTGTACTTCATATATTTAAAAAACTTCAGCTTAGAAACATTAAGTACGTTAGTCTAAGAAGGTACAGAAACTAGGACCAGACCCTGTTGTTTCTGACTTTTAATGCAACATCCTTTCCAAAAAAAACTTCCCTGCCAACACCTTGCTAGATTACAGAAAGGAAATGAAGCTTTTAAAGAACAGTGAAAAAAAAGAATATCTAAAAATACTGCTTACCCTCTTGAATATCTAAAATACCTCAATAAGCCTTAATCCTAAAACCAAAATGAAAACATATTTTAAATGCCCACATATTGTTTTAAAAATTCACTTTCTCTTAAATGGCATTATTTCATAGCAAGTTGCCATGTTTTGCTAGCAACTGCAGTTCACAGATAATATTTCTGAAGGGTATTCACTGCTGCCTCATCTTTCTTTCAGTAACAGATCAACTCCTAGCAATCATGATCGGATACAGCGTCTGAGGCAAGAATTTCAGCAAGCAAAGCAGGATGAAGATGTAGAAGATCGTCGACGGACCTACAGCTTTGAGCAACCCTGGGTAAGTAATTGGTTTTTCAGCACAGTGAATGATCCTACAACTTCCCTACAGCAAAGGCCAGTAAACTATGACCTCAATGCTCTATGAAATGAGACAAGATGGAGTAAAATTCCTTTGGCCTTTAACATATTGACCTTTTCCTCATTTCCATATGGGTTTCATCATTGCTAATTTCATTTTATATCTTGTTCCACCATCTGTCCATTGCATAATAGGTTTCACTAGCCTTATGACAAGACGTAACAAAAGTATTCTCCCTCTCAACTAAGCATTTTTTTAAATTTAGTAACTATTTTTCTATAGATACATATTCTCAGAATCAGAGCCAAAATTAATTTGTTCAACACTTCTGCATTGTGCCTATAATGTACAAAGTACAGTGTTTAGTAATTCTTTTTTTTTTTAAGAGATGAGGTCTTGCTTTGTCACACAGGCTGGAGTGCAGTGGTGTGATCATAGCTCACTGCAGCCCCGAACTCCTAGGCTTAGGCAGTCCTCCTACCTCAGCCACCAGAGTAGCTGGACTACAGGCAAGTGCCACCACACCTGGTTAATTTTTTAGCTTTTTGTAGAGACCAGGTCTCACTATGTTGCCTAGGCTGGTCTCAAACTTCTAGGCTCAAGTGATCCTCGTTCCTCAGCCTCCCAAAGTGTCAGGATTACAGGTGTGAGCCATTCTGCCAGGTCTAGTACTCTAATCTCTTGCATCCCCCTTGTGTATTTGTTGAATCCATCTTATTCCAGTT